GAACGCGAATTTGGGGAATTACCACATGACCACCAAAAGGGGACCCCTAATTTTGCGAACCCCCCAAATGCAGGCTCGCCTTAGCAGCCTGCGTCACTGCTTGTTGGACGGCCATTGTCCCTGTGTGGATGTTGATCGCCTCTGGCCTCATGTAGAAGAACTTTGACTGGGATTTCAAATGTGGAGCTTTGGTAGTTCCCATAAACGGGGGAACCCAAATCTACACCCCTAAATGCAATACTTCCCTGTTGGGACCACGCAAAAAGGACCCCCTAAACCCCCGTTTTGAGTTCATGACGGCCACCCGAACTGCTCGGCCCCGCCAGGAATGTGGTCAGCCTGAATGGGGCACAAGCTTTCGATTTGATTGTCCATTATTGAAGTACTAATGAATAAACGTGGCAGCTCCCATTTTCTTATGTATTCCTCCATATATGACATATTCCGGTTGTATGGTTTGCTGTCCAGCTGCACATGTACTTGGGCAGCTTAGCTGTGAGCTGTGATAAAGGAGCCGATGTCACGGTACAGCTTTGCGTGGAAGACCATCCTCAGTGGCTCTGAGGGCTAAGGGTTTAGGGGTGAGTAGGGCTTTTTCGGTGGCTGAACCTTGTAAGATTATGTCCCTTATATGAATACTACTGTACACCCAAAAAAGAGGAGATAATGGGGTTTCCCCAAATAAAGTACTACTCATGTTGGGATTTCTACAATTAGGGGTACTTTTTGGGGGTCCCTGTAGTAAGAACTACAGAATTTGGAGGGGGTATACATTGGCATGCCCCTATTTTGGGAGACTACCATGTCTTGCCAAACCTTCCCGCTCATCAACTGAGCTATAGCATGCTATAGTCTAAACTCCTAGTATCCCCCTCAGGAAACCCCATAATACTCCCCTATATAACCCCTCCTTGAGGAGTTTAGACTATGCGTAGCTCAAATGGCATAATGTAGGTTCCCTTTCAAATTAGGATCCTTTTTTGAGAAAGTGTAGTGTATTCGCAATGGTCCCTCCTTTAACAGGATCTGTAGAACAACCCTCATATGTCGAAATCAAAGCAGAAAAGTCAATCTTGCCACCGGCTGGCTGGTTGTCTTGAATCACTTAACGACTGTAGTCCTCTGCTTGAAATGCCACAGCCTTACTACCTCCCCCCATACTATTCCCCCCGAGTCCCCGCGAATTATATAACCGTGCTAAGCCCTAGTAAGTACCCTTAAATAACCCTAAACCCTAAACCCAATCTTAATCCAACCCTGTGCAAGCCAGTGGCAGAACATGGTCGTCCTCCGAGGTTAAATGGGACTTTTGCAAAATTAGGGATACCTTAAAAGGGGTTATACGGGTCCTTTGGGGGATATATATGGGAACATAGGGTTTAGACTTTGTGGTTTCGGTATATTTCGGGTGCCTTTTACGAGATACTTGTAATAAGGACTATAGTCTTCTATGGGTCTATTTTGGGGCCCCGCGATTTTTGGAAACTCCCAAGGAGGCATGAAACAAGCGACAGATACCTGAAAGCCACCACATCAGGGCTAGTCAGCTAGTCACTTGCGTGAAGGACGGATTCGGAAATACATGCCGGGTATGGGAAGATGACTTCCAATTAGATGCGGCAAGCAACAAAGCATTACCCTGAACCCTGACCACTCAACCCTAAAACCCTGAAC